CTCCTCCTCGTCCTCGTGCTCCTCATCCCCCTCCTCCTTTCCCTCTTTCCATGACCGGTGGTGCTCAAAGCTCACGCCGTGCGGGCGGCGCCCACTGCGGGAGCGTGTGCCCCCGGGGTTTGCTGCTGGGCCCCGCGCCCCTGCGGGGGAGCGCGCGGCAGGCGCCACCAGCAACAGTCGGCGGAAGGCCGCCCCTCCGGAGCCGTCTGGCGCTCGTGCTCGGCGCAGGCGCCCCTGGCACAGGGTCAGCGATCAGGAGCAGGCGTTGGTCTTGCGCCGCCCTGGGGCGACGTTGGTGTCCTCCTGGGCCGCCTTGGATTGGAACGCGGGGAACCCAGAAAGGCAAGATCGCTGGCCCGTTCAAGCGCCGAATCGAAATCACATTGCTCTTGGACGGCCCCTTCAGACCGTCTTAAGGCATATCGCCGCGGGTCGTCGTGAGGCCTTGATGGGACGCTTTGTGACCCCCCTCCTTGGGGGCTTCGGTGGAGCTCTCCATGAGGCCACGAAGCGTGTGAGGAGTGTGCCGATAACATGGGCTGAGAGCCGCTGTGTGCCCTCCCCCCTCTGGGGGCTGTCGTGAGCTCCATACGGAGCCACGGCTCGCGTGAGGGCTGTGCCGAAATGGTTTGGGGGACGCTGTGAGGCCCTTTCCTTTCTAGGGTTCCGGTGGAGCTCCCGACGGGGCGACGAAACGCGTGAGGGGTGTGCCGCAGTGATTTGGGGGGCGCTGCGAGTCCGGCCTCCCCCGGGACTTCGGTGGAGCGGACGACGGGGCCGCGGAACGAGTGAAGGGTGTGCCGAGATGGTTCGGGGGACGCTGTAAGGCCCCCTTTCCCTGGGGGCTTCGATTGAAACGTTGAGCTCCCGACGGCACCGCGAAACGTGTGATGGGGTGTATTGGCATGGGCTGGGGGACGCTACTTAGGGGTGTGCCGACATTGACACATGGAGAGCAGGGGCACGGATGGGAGGAGGGTGGGGATGAGAAGAGGGGCGCGGGGCGCTTTCTCTTCAACGCGAGGACCCACAACAATGCAGGACTAGCAAGATACATGACATCTGAGGCAGCAACCTGCTCCAGGAGGGATCGGAGACGGAACCGCAACAACGACTGCGACGGAACCGGAAGCAACGGAGCAGGAAGCCACAAGGGCGACTGAGCCAGAACTAAGAGACAGACGTGGAGGCATCAACAGCGGTGGCCCCCTTCGGTTCCAGGGCCCACTCGAGCTCTCCACCCCCCGGTTTTCTCTCTCCTCGCGGGCCGCCGGCTCTGGCCCGCCGGCGCCGGCGCGCGGTGGCTTCCCCGCGCGGAGCGCACCAATGCGACCGCGTGTCCACGGCATCGCGCCCCGGAGTCCAGACGGCGAGGGCGTAACGCTCCCTAGGGGGCCACATGCGAACCCTACCCCTAACCCCCCACGATATCTGAGGGGGAGGGCCCCGCCCTTTCTTCCCCCCCACGCCCGCCCCCGGCCCGCAGTCGCCCGTGGGCGGCTGGCCATGCACCCCACCGTCCTGGATTTTTGTTGAGGAGGCAGGAGGTCCACCAGAAGGGCCCACCCCCTTCCCCGGGCCCGGCTTTGCATCCCGACCAGTCTCTTGACGGCCCCGGGGCCTGGCGATGCCCCCCGAGGCCGCACATGACGGCCGAGAATTGGGAAACCCGAAGGAGCGTACCGATATACCGCTACCCCCCGGACCTCTCCCGAGGTGCGTTCTGACCTGAATTTGGAGGCGTATCCGGCGGTGGTGCCGAGGGCCTCCCAGGAGGTTCAAAAGAGGGGTACGAAAAGGGTAGAAAGGCCTACCAGAAGGCTCAAAGAGGAAATGGGTACGAATGGATTCGAAGGGGTACGAAAGGGATACGAAGGGGTAAAAGAGGGCGACGAAGGCCTCCCAGAAGGCTCAAAAAGGGGGAACGAAAGAAGGGGAGCGGTGTGGTGACCTTTTCATCGGTAGCAACGTATGGGGGCCTTGCACATCCTCGTAATTCCGTCCTCAGTGTCGATTAGCGTCTGGGAGTCGATGAGATGTCGCCGACTTAGCGTCGGTCATCGTCGATTTGGCATCGATTAGCGTCGAATCGCGAGAGCCGACACGATGGTATGGGAGGCTCCCATGCGTTGCCAGCGAACTATTCCTCCTGCGAGTCGTGGTTTGTTCACGGCGCCAGCGTGTCTCGGTCCTGTCTGGCCCCCCCGCCCCTCCGCGCCCGCCGAGGCGCTGGCCCAGAGCCTGCGGGAGGCGGGCCGCGCGCCCCTGCCGGGGCCCAGACCGCATGGGATTGAGGGCCGGAGGAGGGGGAGGAGCAGGCAGAGGAGGCAGAGGAGGAGGAGGGGGAGGAAGAGGAGGAGGAGGAGGAGGAGGAGGAGGAGGAGGAGGAGGGGGAGGAGGAGGTGGAGGAGGAGGAGGAGGAGGAGGAGGAGGAGGAGGGGGAGGAGGGGGAGGAGGAGGAGGGGGGGGAGTGGGAGGAGGGGGAGGCGGAGGAGGCGGAGCATGCGAGGAGGCGAGGATGCGGAGGAGGATGAGGAGGAGGGGGAGGTGGAGGCGGAGGCGGAGGCGGCGGATGAAGAGGCAGAGGCGGGCGGAGGCGGAGGAGGAGGACAAGGCGAGGAGTAGGAGCAGGCGAGGAGAAGAAGGAGCAGGAGGAGGACCAGTGCAACACCTCAGACATATCAACGATGTTGGGATATACTCTCCTTTCAAGCTCCCTGTTCATAGGCCTCATAAAGGGATTCACTTCCACTGAGGGAAGTGCCCCGTTGAGAGACAAGCGTGTGAAAATCGTGAAGCGTGCCAGAGCAGCGTCCTCACGACATCAACGCCACCAGTCAACCTGACTGGTGTGTCTTGACGATCCAGAATTGTGCCAGAATGCCATTCCTGGGGTGTCAACACCGCGAGTCAGCGCAACTGCTGCGCCCCGAAAGTCCTGAGTAACCTCAGAGCACCATTCGTTTAAGGTTAACTATGAGAATCCGCGAAACCCTTGCACATGTTTGCAGCGAGTGTGCGCAGAGCTAAGGCGAGAGTCAGATTTCGAAAAGGGATCGCCCTCAATCCGTGAATCTTTTGTATTTGTTACAACGAATGTATGTGTGCGGCGCTAGTGCGAGAGCCACATGTTGAAAACCACCCGCCCTCAATCTGCGAAATTCTTGCAAGGTTTTCCAAGCATGTACGTGGCGCTAATGCTAGAGCCACAGCTTGAAAGCCACCCACCCTCAATACGTGCAGCTCATGTTGTTTTAGTACGAATGTGCGCGGCGGTAAGGCGAGAGCCCCATCTTGAAAACCACCCGCCCTCAATCCGCGAAGCTCTAGCAAATGTTTGAAGCGAATGTGCGCGGCCCTAAGGCGAAAGCCACATTTTGGAAATGACTCGCCCTCAATCCGTGAAGCTCTTGCAAATTTTGTAAGACGAATGTGCTCGGCGCTAAGGCGAAAAAACACATATTGAAAACTACTCGCCCTCAAATCCGTGTTGCCCATGCAAATTAACAAGACGAGTGTGCGCGGCGCCAGTTGCACCCCACTTTCGAAACGGCTACAAGTTTGTAATCTTCAAGCTCATAAGTGGACATAACATTTCAGGCGAAGTGCCCGGCCCGCCCTTCCGACCGGCCTCGGGGTGCGACAGGAAGGAGTTATTCAAGGAAAAGGAATGCGGGAGGAGGAGGAGGAGAAGGACGAATAGGAGGAACATGAACAGTAACAGGAGGAGGAGGCGGCAGAGGAGGAGAAGGCGGAGGGGGAAGAGGAGCGGGAGGGGACCTGGGGCTTTCGCGTGCAACCATGCAACCGAGGAGGAGGAGGAGGAGGAGGAGGAGGAGGAGGAGGAGGAAGGGCGCGTTGTCCCCATAGTTTGGCAAAGAAATGGAGGAGGCGGCTTACGCTTCGGGCGTGTGCGCCCTGCAGCTCGCGCAAGCAGAAAGGAGCAGGGAGAGAGGGCGGGAGGGAGGCAAGGCAACACTCGTGACAGGGAACACCGCAGAGATCCGAAGGTGAACAGCAGTGTGGTGGGTACTTGAGGGAGCACTGTAATGGATACCACAACTTGAAAGCTCTGGGGAGGTCATCAGAGAGACCATGATGGAGACCAGAATCTGGACGCCCGAAATGGGTACGGAAGGCATGGGTACAATGCCCAACAGCAGTTCTTGTTCGTTTTGAACAGGACTCGCTGTCCGCGCCGCCGCGGCCCGTGTCCATTCGAGACAGCAGGCCGCCTGCCCAACAGCGGCCGCTGTTGGTATGGGACAACATTTGTTGTTGGGCATTGTACCCATTCTTTCCGTACCCATTTCGGGCGTCCAGACATAAGCATCACCACACGGGAGACCATACAGTCGGGGCGCTGAAGGAGGAACCCTTTTCGGTGGGGAGGGGCTCCGTGTTCCTTAGTTGTTTCACAGCTTACCTCAGGTTTCCCTTGTGGTTTTGATGGGAAATCGAAGTTTAACTCATGGACAAAAGGGGCCTCGTTCCTTATTTAGGGTTCCTTAGGCCAACGCCCCGGCGCTAGGGGTGACCCTACGGGAGAACACCACCAAGCGAGGCCTGAAGGGAGGCCAGGCGGGAGGCCATCCACACGGAAGACTGGACGGGCCACGAGCCACCGACTCCGGACCCGGAGAGGCTCAGAGAGGGCAGTGAAGAGGTGCAGAGAGCTCTCGCAGACGGGGTGGTCAGGGAACAACGACGACGGCCCTGCCGACTGCCAAGGCCAGACGAAGACCACGATGAAGACGACGATCACGACCACGACGACGGCAACGACGACGACGTCGACGACGACCGACGACGTCGACGACGATGTCCGCCGACGCAACGACGACGACGACGACAACGACGACGACGACGACGACGACGACGACGACGACGACGACGACGACGACGACGACGACGACGACGACGACTACGACGACGACGACGACGACGACGACGACGACGACGACGACGACGACGACGATGGGCGGCCGCCCCGGAGCAAGACAGCCTCCGCACCGGAGGCCGGGCCGCTGCAGCGCGGCCAGGGCAGCCAGGCGGCCCTGGCGGGGCGCCGTCCGTGCTTCCTCCCTCTTCCCTCCTACGCCGCGTCCGCCTCCGCCTCCGCCGCCGCCTCCTCCTCGCCTGCTCCTGCTCCTCGCCAGCTCATCCTGCTCCGCCTGCCCCCTTCTCCTCCTGCACCTCCGACTCTGCCCCTTCCGCCTCTTCCTCCTCCTCCTCCTCCGCATCCGCCTCCTCAGTCCTCCCTCATTTGCCGCCTCCACCTCCGCCGCCTCCTCCACCTCCGCCTCCTCATCCTCCCCCACCTCCTCCTCGTCCTCCTCATCCTCCTCCGCCTCCTCCTCCTTCTCCACCTCCGCCCCCCCCTCCTCCTCCGCCTCCTTGGACCCCTCCTCCTCCTCCTCCTCCGCCGTCTCCACCTCCTCCGCCTCCTTCCGCGCATTCGCCTCCGCCGCCTCCGCCTCCTCCTCCGCATCCGTTTCCTGCTCTGCCTCATCCTACTCCTCATCCACTTCCGCCTCGGGCTCCTCCGCCTCCGCCTCCTCCGCCTCCTTCTCCTCCCTCCTCCGCTGCGTTCTCCTCACGCATTCCCTTTCCTTATGAATAACTTCTCCCTGTCGCTCCCCGAGGCATGTCGAAAGGGCGGGCTAAGCATTTCACCTGAGATTTCTTCACCATATATGACCCAGAAACTTACAAACTGACAGCAGCTTCACAGATGGAGGGGGGTGTTCTTCAAAGTGTGGTTCTCGCCTTTGCACCGCGCACATTCGTTTCACACATGTTGCAGGAGTGCCACGGATTTAGGGCGGCTGGTTTTCAACATGAGGCCCTCGTCGTAGCGCCGCGACATTGCAAGAGTTTCGCATATTCTCATGGTCAACATAAGAGACATGATGCTCTGGAGAGATTCAGGGCTGTCACGGCGCAACGGTGACGTTGATTCGCGTTGTTGAAGTCCCAGGATTGGTTTTCTGGCACGATCCATCATCGTCAAGATGCAACAGTCAGGTTGCCCTGTGGTGTTGAAGTCCTGAGAATGGTGTTTAGGCGCGCGTCAAGACTTTCACTCGGTTGTCACCCAACGGCGGACTTCTACCTCAGGGGAAATTAGCCCATGTAGGGGCCTATGAACAGGGAGCTCGGAGGGAAAGTGTATCCCAACATCATTGATGAGTATTGGGTGTACACTGTTTCTCCTCCTCCTCTTCGCCTGTTCATCCTGCTCCTCGCCTGCTCCTCCTGCTCCGCCTCCGCCCGCCTCTGCCTCCTCCGCCACCTCCGCATCCGCATCCACCTTATCCTCCTCCTCCGCCTCCTCGCCTGTTCCTCCTCGCATGCTCCTCCTCCTCCGCCTCGTCCTCCTTCTCCTGCTCCTCCTCCGCCTCCTCCTGCTCCTCCTCCTGCTCGTCCTCCTCCTCTTCCTCCTCCTTCCTCTCCTCTCTCTCCAGACCTCCCTGAGTCATGAAACGACAAGTTTTAAAACAGATTTCTCCTCTGGCAGCCCTGACCGAGCCTCGGGGCTGTCCACTCAAGGACTCGGGATGGAACACCAGCCCCAGGGAATTGGTCGAGACCTCTGGGGGTCGACGTGGTGACAACAATCAACGCGTGGGTCTGGGTCGCAGGCCGCAGGCCGGCCGTGCCGCCTCGCGGCCCATGGGGTCCACTGCAGCCGGCGGTCAGTCAGAGCGCCGGCTCCTGCAGGGTCCTGCAGAGACAGGGGTTTTCAGAGGCGACGACAGGGGCGAACAGCCCAGGGGAGAGCAATACATGTACTCAGGTGCGCCGATGATCTGTGTCTTCGAAAAGGCTCCCGGGCGAATGCGTGTAATGCCCGCCCCTGAGCTATTCGCCCCCATCGTCGCCGCCGAGGGCTACACTGGCCCGGGCTTGGGTGCAGGATCCCGCAGGATTCTGCTCTGGACGCCCGGTGCGGAAAATATGGGTCTGCAGGAGTCTGCCCCGGGTCAGTGCATCTCCGACTGTCCCCCCCCGGGGGCCAGGGGAGCAGCGCGGGCGCCAGGCCACCAGCATGCGCGCCTGGTCGCCGCAGTCTCCGGAGGCCGGCAGGCTGTGAGGCAGGGGCGCCCTCGAGGGCGTGAATTCTTCACGCTTCGCGCTTCGGCTCCGATGCTCCCTCGTCCTCCTCTTCTCCCATGGGGGGCGGCGTGAGAGCGCGAGGTTGTTCGCGCATCGCGCTTCGCGCAGCGCGGAGTTGGGCGCCCTCGGTGAGTAACGCCCATGCAGGATAAGCAGACCAGGAATGTTGTGAAGGCCGTGCGCGGCGCGCCACAGTTGTAACCGCGTGCGGGCGATAATAAAGCCTTCCCCCTCCTTAAGGCTCTCTGTTGTTACTATCCCCGTTCAACAGGATTTCATTGCGGAGAAGGGTGCGGAGGCCGAACTTTCTCATCCACGGAGGAAGTTGCGAATCGAAGTTGCTATGATCTCCTGTTGACTAGCGACAGCATCGAACACGCTGAGCATGGTTGCGCGCGGCAGGGCTGTGGGATTCTCACCAGGTCAGTTTGCCCAAGTCACGAACGTGCGGCAACGCCATGGGATTCTGACTTTCTCAGCCGAGATCTCTCGAGTCAGTCTTGTGCCGAGCGCCCAGGATCACCATCATCATGATCATCGTCATCATCATAACTTCACCTTCCCTGGGAAAATCGTTGATTATCCCCGCCAGACCCCCGAACGTTATTATCCCCTGGGTATTATTATTGCCCGTGGTCGGTTACCATCTAGTCCCGACGCCCGCCCCCGTCATTTACGGGACGACGTGCGCGCGGCGATGTTCCAGCGCAAAGCAGGCGTACATCTAACGCGCATCTGACGTGCGTCCAAGGTGGATCAGATCGTACGTACCTGCTGGCCCTGGTACGTGCCCGGCTGCGCAGGGAGGAGAAGGGTACAGCCAACCCGCATAGGAAGGGTGAGCAACTTTCCAATGGTACCCTTGCATCCCTCCCCTTTCGGCCCATCCTTGGCCGCTCTCGCTGGCCGCGCCCCTCTCGCAAAGTGTCGCCATGGCTTTCCGAGGCCCGTGCTTCCTCATCGCGCATCCTTCTTTAACCGCTTCGCTCACTCCGCCGGCCCCTTCCGCATCACCTGTGGCTGCGCGGTGGCGTGCCCGTGCCCGGGGGGAACGGCATGGGCAGGCAGCACGGCCTTCGAGGAGACTTCTGGAGATGTGGCCCCGTCCCTGGCCGCTTGGACTTGTGGCGGGGGGCCTCCGGGCCTGTTTTGTCTGAGGCGAGGGCTCCTCGTTGCCAGCTGGGTGCTCGCCGCCCGCTGTCCGCCCCCGCCGCGGTGGCCCGTGCGCGTGGCCGCCTCCGCGCCACCCGGCCTCGTCGACTTCGGCCCCGCCGGGGCGTCGGAGAAGAAAAACTGCTACAAACATAAACTTTCAACGCTCCTCGCGCATTCTTTGGATCCGCGCTTAGGGGGCCACATGTGAACCCTACCCTATACCCCCCACCATTTCTGAGGGGGAGGGTGGGGTTCACTTCGTTCGGGAGCTCCCGAGCGAAGTGAACCCCACCTTCCCCCTCAGAAATCGTGGGGGGTAGGGGTAGGGTTCACATGTGGCCCCCTAGCGCTGGGCCCCCCCAGCGGCGCCTCCGGCGCCGCCCCTCGCGCGCTCCGCGCGCCAGTGAAGGGGGTCCAGTGCAGATCCAAGAAGTCCGCGCGGAGCGCCACAAGTCTATGGATTATCCTCGAAACACTCTGGCCAGGATGCACTGCACCCCGGAGAGGTCCGGGGAGTAGCTGCATCGGTACTTTTTGTCCCCTAGTTTGCTGCATCACGCCTGATTCAGCACTGGTGGAAGTTGGACGTCCGCGAACGTCCAATATCAACGTCCAACATCCACCGGTCATGCATCCGTGCCGAGCGTGCATCACTACTACGGCGCTTTTGATTGTACCCGTCCTCTTCTTCCTGCCCTCCCCGCCCTCCCCGCCCTCCGCCCTCCCTCCTGCGCACCCGCCCTTTCCCAACATCCCCGCGTTCTCATCTTTTTGCGTCTCGGCCGCACGCCCAGCGCCGCAGCGGAGTCAGTCAGCCGAGAGGGTCTCTTGCACACGCAAACACAAACACAAGGACAGCAACACACAGATACAATGACACACGCACACGCACACGCACATGCACGCACACATACACGCACACGCACACGAACGCACGTGCACACTCACACGAACACGCACGGACTCTCACACGAACACGCACACTCTCCCGAACGCCTTTTTGGCGATCGCGGCCTCGCGTGCGACGACGATGCGAAGCAAGTCAATTACACTCGGGCGCTTCAAATAGCATGGGCAACATCGATGTGTGCTATTGCGATGGGTCGCTTTCGACCTATGGTAAATCTTCGGCACACCGTGTTTCTTCGTATTTTCTGAACCTGGTGTTTTGATGTCTCGGCTACTTGTGTGTGCTCCGGGGAGGTCGAGATCGGCTTCTGTCCAAGTTTCAGTGTGCTGATCCCGTCCCGTTTTTTCGTGCTATATGCGCGTTGTGCTATCCTCGCCCCTCCCCCATGGCTTGAGGGAGAGAAAGAGAGCTGCAGGCAGGAGGGGAGCCGGACGTGGAGGTAGAGGTGGAGTAGCAGCAACAGGTACAGGGAACGGGGACATGTATACCATTGTCCTCGGTGCCCCCAGTCCATCTGACTTGTGCTATGTTGGCTCCGTGTGCCTCAACCTCTCCCTCCTCGCCCTTGCACCGTGCACCCGTGCCTCGCCATTCTCAACGCGCGAGGACATTCCTCGGATCCCCCACTTTGTTCCCAGAGCGACTGAGAGATGCAGTAGGAGCTCGACCACAAGAAACCTTCCAAAAGAAACCCGACCCTGAGACCCCAGGATGCCCATTGTTTTTTTGGCGTGGGAGCGACTTGCTTTCCATGGCCTAGCAATCGAAACCCGTGAACTCCAGGGCAGCCTGGGGGCAAGCAGGGTGTTTCTGGGCATGGTTCCTCCTCCTCCCCCTCCTCCTCCCCCTCTCCTCCTCCTCCTCCTCCTCCTCCTCCTCCTCCTCCTCCTCCTCCTCCTCCTCCTCCTCATCCTCATCCTCATCCTCATCCTCATCCTCATCCTCATCCTCATCCTCATCCTCCACCTAGCCCCTTTCCGTCGAAACTCCTCTTTCAGGGGCGATGCCCCCAATCCTGCTGACCTGTGGCACGTTGGTCTTGCGTGTCTCCTCCTCTCCCATCTCGCCTTACTCCTCCTCCTCCTCATCCTCCTCCTCCTCCTCTTTCTCCTCCTCCTCCTCGTCCTCCTCCTCCTCCTCATCATCATCATCATCATTCTCCTCCTCCCTCCCTCCCCCCCCTCATCCTCCTCCTCCTAGCCCCTTTTCACCGAACCTCTTTTTTTTTCATGGGCGATGCCCCCCAATCCTGCTGACCAGTGCTATGTTGGTCCCGCGCGTCTCCTCCTCTCCCCCCTGGTCCTTCTCCTCCTCCTCCACCTCAACCTCCTGCTCTCCTTCCCCTGTCCTTCCTCCTCCTCCTCGCCCTCCTCCTAGCCCCTTTCCATCGACCCTACTCTTTCAGGGGCGATGCCCCCGATCCTGCTGGCCTGTGTGTGCGACGTCGGTCCCGCACGTTTCCTCCTCTCCCTCCTCGTCCTTTTCTTGCAGACACAGTCGTTTATCCAGAAAATAGGGGAACACATGGGAAGTGGGGGGGAGGACAAAAACTTTAAAGATATGGGAAAATGTTTGGGAATCCTGCTATTTATGTGTGTTTACTGGTGTGTCCCAGGGCCCCTTCGGCATCCGAGCCTTGCGTCTCCCCGGTGCTCCCCTGCGGGGCGGCACGTGGCGCGCCCGCCCACCCATGAGCGGAGCCTCTCCTCGGGCGCTTTTGGGAGTGCAGCCCACCTGCACGGTTGAGCGGGGGCCGGCCGTCCCGGCATTTCCATACCTGGACGCCCGACATGGGCACGGGAAGCGTGGGTACAATGCCCAACAGTCGGGGGCGGACAAGAGGGGGGTGATAACTAGGGGGGGGGGGATATCATGGCGGGGGCCATGATATTTCCCAGATTTCATGGCGCCTCTTCTTCTTTCATTACGTCCCTGGCCCCCCTGCTGGGCCGCGCACATGCCGCCGGTCATGATTTGCACCCCCCCCTCTTGGACACCCCCCTCTTTGCCGCCCCCAAATGGGCACGGAAAGAATGGGTACAATGCCCAACAGCAGTTCCTGTTCATCTTGAACAGGCCTCGCTGTCCGCGCCGCCGCGGCCTGTGTTCATTCGAGACAGGAGGCCGCCTGCCCAGCAGCGGCCGCTGTTGGTTCGGGGCAACATTTGCTGTGGGGCATTGTGCCCACTCTTTCCGTACCCATTTCGGGCGTCCAAACTATAGGCCTACCGCGAAATGTTCTTTAGAATCCAGAAATGTTCGAAAGACAAAAAACGCCTTTATAAAACAGGTCTCCGCTGTGTCAAAACAAGACAGTCCCAGCCAGAAGTGTTCTAAGAACATATCGTTGAAACTACAACAGGTTATTGGAATGCTGTTTGGTTGGCGTATAAGCACGCCAGGACGCTTCGCCACTGCTTCCCTCTGGAAGGAGAGACTACTTTTCCAAGGTTGGTTGCCCCTGCGTTCTTCCCCTTTCGGTCCGTCCTTGGCCACTTTTGCTGGCCGCGCCCCCCCGAAAAGCCTCGGAAGGGCCTTCCAAGGCCCTTGCATTCTTCTCGCGCGTCCTAACGTTCGTGGCACGAGGCCCTCCCCGCGAGCGGGGAGGGGTCGTATCCATGTGCGTGTCAGGGCGCGTACGCTCCCACCCCCCAGCCCGCGAGTTCCCCAACCAACCAAGCCGCACAGATAAAAAAGGATGGGTCCGCTTGCGGATGCGCCCCCGAGGGGGCTTTTCGGACGCACCCCCACGCGATCACCTCCCTAGCATGTTTTCATCTCCGAGTTGGTCCCCAGATTTGTTCCCCAGAAGAATATCCAGCAACATCAGTCATTGGGGTCGCGACCGCCCCCGTTTTTTTTTTGCATCCTTGCGGCGACAACGGGCGTTGCCAAGGGGGAGGGGGTCTGGGGGGGGGCGGAGGCCGATAAGGTCACTCGGCGGCGAACGGGGGGGAAGTGAGGAGGAAAAGGCCCTCTCAAAAGGCGGCGGGACTTCTCAGAAGCCATCTGGCCTTCTGAGAGGTTTGCTGTGTCTTCTGGAAAGGTCTAGAAACGTCTCAGAAAGGCCAGGGGACTTCCAAGGCTTCTGAGAAGGCCCACCCCTTCTCACTCCCCTGCCGGGCTCGCCGCCGAGTTACACCCTTCGCCGACGCCGTCTGGGATCTGAGCGTTTCCCAGCCATGCCCAGCCAGCGCTGTCGCGAGTCATCATTGCTGCCATACGGTAACAAGATGTTGTTGATGTGGGTCCTGCGATAAACCGACTTCTCGGGCCCGCCCATGCCCTCCAGCCCCCCTCCCCCCAAAGCCCCACATTGAAGTGCCCACATGTTCTCCCGCGCTGCCTCGCCTGCGCCCCTGCCAGCCCTGGGTTTTTCGGGGGTTGCCCACTTGCTGGCCGCACTTCGTCCTCGTGCTGTCTTGGCGCGATGGGCCCGGTGTGGCCGCCTCCTGCCCCGCCGCCGAAGCTCCTGCGCCCCCCCCGCCCCCGCCTTCCCGCCCCCGGCGGAGGCTGCGCCGTCGCGCGGCCGGAGGCGGGCCGAGAGCCCCACCGCCGAGAGCGAGGACGGCACCCCTCGGGGTGGGGTTGGAGGGTTCTGCGGCGCTTGGAGTAAGTCGGGCATGGCCCTCCACAGGAGGAGTCTTCAAACATAGTAAGAACAATCGTCTGGGGACGATGTTTCTACTACGTGCTGATTCTCTTGGAGCATTTGGTGCATATGTTTTATGTTTCCTCCGAACTCCGCCTGTAGGAGGACATGCCCGACCCAACGCTTGGAGCCTGTTGGGGGTCTGTTGCGTTGCATCTTGGGGGGTCCTCGCCTGCCTCCCACCACTGGTGTCTTTGTCTCGTGCCCGAGGCGGGCTCGGTGTGGACTCGACGCGGACTTGGCGCGGACTCGACGTGGATGCGACATGGATCCGACACGGACCTGACGAGTCCGCCATGGATGCGACACGGGTCTTGGCATCGCTCGGACGTGTGCCTTTTTTCTTCGGCGAGGACCATCGAGGAGCATCCTTCATCATTTGGCGAAACAAACACGCTCGAAACCAACAAAACAGGGAATAGACGTCCGAGCGATGGCCAGGGGTTCGACGCGGATAGGGCCGCGACGAGACAGACAAGATCCCCCCCCGAGGATGCAACAGAAGGGCTGAGGTGGTTCAGCATTGGTCCGGCCGGCAGGAAGTGGGTGCAGGTGCGAGGCTCTGGGTTCGGGAAAGTTTCTCGTTTGTTTCGGCCTCTGGGGGCCGTTCTCAGGCCCTGGGACCGTCAGAAACAGGTCCAGGGTAAACAGCTTGGATTTGGCTTTGTCTCCCCCTCCTGACCGATCCTTTGAGGCCCCAACAAGTTCAGACCCCTGGGCGGCCACCAAGTTGGCGGCACGCACAGGGGGGTCGGAGCGAGGGGGAGCGCCGCCTTCTACGAAGGCGGGAGGGTTTCCAAGAGGGCAGGGAGGGCTCCTCAGAGGGCTTCCTGGCTACCAAGGAGCCGTCTCAGATAGGGCGGCGTTGCGCAATGGGGGGCGATAGATGGGGGAGGGTAACTAAGAGAGGTGTACCTTCTGTATTCTAAAAGGGCCATACAGTGGTCCTCCAGAGGCCCCTGGAGCCTAAATGGTGGTGCACGTGTCTCCCCTTCCCTCCCATCTGCCGCCTCCCCATCAAAAAGCAACGCCCGCTCAGAAGCCCATGAGCCCTTGGAGGACGCCGCCCCCTGCGCTCCAAGACTCCAAGAAGCCCCAGGCCCCGGCCCACTTCTCGCCTCCCCATTAAGAACCAACGCTCGCTGAGAAGCCCGTGGGCCCCCAGAGGACGCCGCACCCTGCCTTCTGAGATCATGAGCAGGAGCCCCAGCCCCCCCATGGATCGACTCCCCATGGCACAAAACGCAGCGCCTGCTCAGCGGCCTGTGGGCCCCTGGAGGACGCCGCCCCCTGCCTTCTGAGCCTCTGAGCGGGAGCCCCCTGGCCTCCCTGGGCGAGGCCGCCCGCCTCGCGCCGACTCCCGGGGCGCGCCGCCCGAGGGAGGAGCGGCACCACCACCTCCGATTCTGGCTCCCTGTTTCCCTTCTCCTCCTCCTCCTCCTCCTCCTCCTCCTCCTCCTCCTCCTCCATCCCCTCCTCCTTCCTCCCTCCTCCTCTTCCTCCTCCCTCCTCCTTCCTCCCTCCTCCTCTTCCTCCTCCTCCTCCTCCTCTCCTTCCTCCCTCCTGCTCCTCCTCCTCCTCCTCCTCCTCCTCCTTCTCCTCCCCCTCCTCCTCCTTTCTCCCTCCTCCTCTTCCTCCTCATTTGTGGGTCCGAGTGCGCGCGGTGCTCTCCTCAGAGAAGGCGCCTCCGACTCCGACTCCGACTGCAGCTACCGTCTCTCCGACTCTGTCTTCAACTCCAGCTCCCGCCTCTCCGACTCCAGCTCCCATCTCGCCTCCCCGACCCCAGTTCCGCTTCCAGCTCCCGTCTTTTTTCGACTCCGGCTCACGATGCTGATTAGTTGTGTTGGCGGAATGGTGGAAGGTTTTCTGGAGGTTCCGACTTCGGCTCTTATTCTTTTCCGATTTGGTCCCTTCCTATCTCTCCGACTCCGGCTCCGACTCCGGCCGGCGGCGTTCGGTCCGTGCGGAACGGCCTGATGTCGTGCCGTTGCTGCGTCGCTGCGCCCCTGCTGGGCTGCTTGCGGCCGGGAGCCTTCTTTTTTATATGGGCCGAGGACGGGCGTGGTTTGGGCGGGGGGGGGGAGGGGCCGATGGCGTCACGATTCGCGCCGGCGGCGTCTGGGGATGCCCAGGAGTGACCGAGGACGAATAGCGGACTAAATGGATTCGGTTTCGCGGTCGGTTCGGTCGGTGTCCGTTGGTGCCTTCGCCGTGGACGGCCTCGACCACTTCTTCACCTCCCCAGACCTTTGGCGGACGGAGTGATCAATCCCGATGCGTTTCACTTGAACGGGGTCTTGCTTCAGGCGCAGGCGTTCTCATTTGCTTGTGAGGAACCAGTGGGTGCGGGATGCCGATGCAGAGGCGGCCTTCCTCGGTGTCTTGGTCTTGGTTTCTTGCTGGTTTGCTGGGGTTTGCTCGGGTTCTTTCGTCTTGTTTCCGTGCCCCTTGCTGCCCTGCTCGGATTCCTTGGTCTTTTGTTCCGGGCTGCCTTGCTCGGGTTCTTTAGTCTTGTTTCCTTGCTGCCTTGCTCGGGTTCCTTGGCCTCGGTTCCCTGATGTCTTCCTCGGGTTTCTTGGGCTTGGTTCCCTGCCGCCATGCAATGCCAAGCAAAGCGATGCCAAACTCTGCCAATCAATACCAAACAATGCCAAGCAGAGCCCAGCAGGGAAAAGCAATCTGCCAATGCAACAGGACTGTTTCCCCAGATTCAGGGCGCCGTTGTCAGGCTCTAGGGCTATCAACTATGGATCCAGAACGACGAGCTGTCCCTTGGGAAGGTGGTCGATCCCTTTGGGGTCCGCGGACTGAACACATCACATTGTCGGATGCCTTGGACGGGAAAGAATGGGAGAAGCGGGAGAGGCCAAGTTAGGTCCGTTTGCGCCACATCTGACATCCTACCCCAGCCACCCATCCTTGCCATCCAATTGACTGCGCTGAAAATGTTGAATCCCCTCCTATCCGCCGATCGGGGCGTCTCACAAAACCTCATCGATCCACCATGTAGGAAGTGGGGGACAGGGCCACGATCCAGACATTCACCACCCACCAAACCACCCCAACCCAACCCGAAGGCCTAAATTTGTCCCCCATTTCGAGTGGGGGCGGGGTGGGGGAAGAGTGGGAAAACACATCTGAAGCCAGTACCCCGCCCAACCCGAAATTCGGGTGCTGGGGTGGTCTAGTAGATGGTCAGACATACGACGTGTTGTTTTCTCAAAGCGTGGTTCCCCAGAGGTCCCGGCCTCTTCCCAGGGACCGGCTTCTATCTTCTCCCGAGTGGGCTTTTATAACGATCCTTGGGCCCGAGGAGAGGCCCTCGAAGGCCGAGGTCACGAGATCGCCTCCCTCCGGTCTTGCTCCACTCCGCGAGGGGGGGGGAGAGGGCGGAACAGGGGGGAGTCAGAGGGAAGGGGCTGTGATCTCATACAGTGAGTTGCTTGAATAAGGAACACTTACTTTCCAAAAGGGGCTCGGTCGTTCCTTAGGCTTGCATGCGTTATTTACAGTTCCTTATGCGTTAGTTGTTATTTATCGCTCCTTATGCGTGATTCCTTGGGAAAAAAAGGGGCTTCGTTCCTTATTTGTCGTTCCTTGGGTCAGGCCGATGACTACAAGAACAGAACACCATAAACACAAACTTTTGGCGCTCCTCGCGGATTCCTCGGATCCCCCCCTAGCGGCGCCTCCGGCGTCGCCCCTGATGCGCCAGGGAGGGGGGTCCAGCGCAGATCCAAGACATCCACGTGGAGCGCGAAGAGTTTAGGTTTATGGCGTTTGTGCTTCTTCTGTGTCTCCAAGCTCGTGTGGCAAAAGTTGGAGGAGGCCACACGTAAAGCCTTCTGCTGCATTCCCTTGGGCAGCAGCCGCGGCTATCATTGGATCACCCTTGGTTCCCCCGGAGGAAGGGACAGTGAATGGCCAGTTGGCTTTGGTTTCTCTGGCGCTCACTGTGCGACTTGGGCGCATCTCCTACAGTCGGCCACCCGCAGAAGGGGATAGGGGAAGGGGGAAGGTTTCTTAGAACCACCGCCTCTTGTTAGAAGGCGCATGCCTGCTCTTTAGATGTGAGGCGAGCGCCTTCTAAGAAGCATTGTCATTCTGAGAAGCCTTCACCTCTCCGCCAATGCAGGCTCGGGAGATTAGTCTCTTGACGCCAGTCCATGGGCCAACGCTGGCTTACAACCGGCTACATGCTGGTGAGGCCAAGGCTTGATTAGACGTTAGAGCAATATTTTACCGGAGTGCCCTTCGGTGCGGGCCCAATAGGGTCCCCCGATCTCCGAACGCAATGCGATAGCAGCGTCTTGCGCGCTTGTGTGTTGGTCCCCCCGCGGTCCAACTACACTCCGCGCACCAAAGGTCACTCTTACCCAGGGTCACCCTTGCGTGTAGTCGAAAGGTGTTTTGGGCTTGCACGACAAAGCACACCACATATATTCCACCGCGCAGAACTCTTTATTCCCAGAAAGAAATCCAAACGCTTCGTGAAACCTCACCAGACTATCCATAAACGATGCCCACGCGAGTTGCCCTGATCAGGCATTTGGGGGAGTACGCAGTGAAATGGCTGGGAAGCCGTCATATCCCACGTGGGGGAGGATGGATGAGGAACCAGATGCGGAGGAGGTGGAGAAGGAGGAGGAGGAGGAGGAAGAGAAGGAGGAGGAGGAGGAGGAGGAGGAGGAGGAGGAGGAGGAGGAGGAGGAGAAGGGAGAGGAGGAGAAGGAGCAGGGTGGCGAGAGGAGGGGGCAGGGAGCAGAGGAGGGTTAGGCGGCGGAGGAGGGCTAGCAGAAAGGCCAGAGGTCTCCTGGATGCCTCTCAGCATTTCTCTGGATGTCTCTGGAGAGCTTGTTGTATGCTTCTTGGGGCCTCTTGGGGCCTCTTGGGGGCCTCGTTGCGGTCCCGGGGGGCTTCTTGAAGCGTCTTGGGGGTGGCTCGGGGGGACTCTCCTCGGGCCTCTTGGGGGTCTCGTGGGAATCTCTTGGGGGCTTCTTGTGTCTCTGGGTCCATCTTGGGGCCATCCTGGAGGCGATCGATCAAAGAAGGGGGGCATTAGATCATGCCCTCCCCGAGAAGGCCAGAGTGGGCTCAACACCAAAGCCAAATCAATGATTTGTGCTTTCTTGCCGAGGCAGTTTTGGGCGCTGATGCGAGGCACATTTGCGCGCCGCTGCGCGCCCCTAGTTCAAAACCCTTCACAGTCATTGACGTCCCAACAGACAGCGCTACCTAACAACTGTATATGAGAAACAACAGTTTCTGAGCAACACTGTGCCAGAATTGTGTACGCGTGCACTCGTTGAACTCGTAAGGCACCATAGGTGTTTAGCACGTCTTTAGCATGACAGTATGCGGGACACATGCGCACATGTCGAAGGCATTACACCTGCCAACTCTGTTAACGAATACAAAGCGGGCTACTCGTTCGCAATTCCGATTCTAACAAGTTAACTCCACAGGTGTTCGAGCATATGCGACATTCCAGTGGTATACGTGACAATACATGTCAGACAGGATGACGTCTGCGGCAGCACACGTACCACCATCCTCACCAGCACAATCGTTATTATCGTCTGCAGACTCATCATTGTTATCGTCAAGATCATCATCATCACCACCATCACAATCACCACAACCATCACCATCACCATAACCACCACGATCATCATCAGCATCATCATCACCAGCGTCGTCGTCGTCATCATCACTGCCGTTGTAAGGATCGTCATCGTCGATGTCATCGCCCGCGGCACAGTTCTGCGCACGCGCACTTCCTCACCGTCCTCGCCAGCACCATCGTCGTCATCATCATCATCATCTCCAGTATTATCGTTGCCACCGCCATTACTAGCACCACCTTAGTCATCATCTTCACCATCGTCGTCGGCATCGTCTTCGACGTCGACATGAATATTATCACCGTCATCGTCGTTGTCGCCGCCTAGTCCAGTTTTGCCAACAGGTTGCAGGTGGGTAGGGGGGATCTCGAGCATTGGTGGTGGTCACGCGTGGACGCAGTTGAAGTTCATTGCACCGCACAGGTTGCACCACTCCAGACAAGTCGCCAGGACGTCTCATGCAAAACCGCAACCAAGCCAGGCCCAACCAGGCAACCCGAAAGGATATGTCATGCGAGAATGTACCCGCTCTAGGAACCAGGCGTCAATCGGCGAGGATGCTTGAGGCGGTACAGGCCCCAAACAAGACAATTGCGTTGACGTCTCAGGGGAAAACCGGCCCAGCACCAAGCCATGGCAATGTCTGAACGCATTGCCAGACGTATATATGTACAGACTTAAGCACATCCACGAGCTAGGTTGAAGTAGTGGATGACCCAAGGCGGTCCCGCCGCAGGGGATGCTTTAAAGTGTTTTTATCGATTTGGAAGTTGGGGCTCAGCAGGATGTGGCTGATGTCTTTCGGTTGTACCTCGGGTTTCGTTGTGGCGTTCGGAGAGATATCCCCTAGCCTTCGGTTGAGCTGGGGGGGGGCTTGAGGCGGGAGCTGGACTCGGCCACGCGCAGAAGGGGGGAAGGGGCAGAGGGGTCTTGTCTATAGATGCAGGGCCTCCGCCTTCTAAGAAGCAGCCTCCTTCTCTGACGCCTCCCCCCTCCCCATACTACGTACCCACCTGGTGCGCGCAGATAAGGGAGCGGCCTCAGGAAACGGGGCCGTCTGCGCCGACATTGGCGCGCAAGCTGCCCGCGTAAGGTCGCGCGTGAGCGCCCTCGCTTCCAGCACAGCGTGCCGCGCCAGCGGCCCGCGTGAGCCACCGCGTAAGGTCGGTATGCCATCTCGCGGCCCCTTCCTTTTCGTCTGAGCATCGCCGGGTGTGGGCACGAGAGCTATCGCGTAAGGTCGCGGTCTGCGTATGTCATCGCGTAAGGTCTCTCATCTCGTCGCCCACGTGGTGGAGAGGGGGGGGAGCTTTAGGGCGGGGCTAGGACGAGGACAACTCCTTCCAGGAAGCTCTCAGAGCGTGACGGAACGCCCTGAGAAGGCCGCGGCGCCCGAGACATCTTCCAGAACCGTTAGATCTTAGATCGGTACGAACGAAATGGCTACGGAAAGAATGGGTACAAGGCCCACCAGCAGTCGCTGATCATTTTGAACAGGGTTCGCTGTCCGCGCCGCCGCGGCCTGTGTCCATTTGAGATGAACGGCCGCCTGCCCAGCAGCGGCCGCTCTTGGTCTGGGGCTACATGTGTTGCTGGGTACTGTACCCATCTGTCCTGTCTTCGGTTCGAGCCTCCAGGTGAGTATACTCGATTTGCCCCCACCCGATGCTCTCCTCGTCCTGGCCTCCTCTCCTTCGAGGCGGGGGCGGGGGCGGCCGCGCCTCCCCAGGACGTGCGCCAGGCGGGCGCCGCCCCCCCCCCGCCGCCGCGCCGCGCCGCGCCCCCCCGCGGCGCGGGGGGCCAGCCCCTGCTGTCCCGGGGCGCCCTCGCGCCGCGGAAGCCACGACGGGCCTCGGGGGCGGCAGAGGAGCAGAGCGGCGGTGAGCCTTCTGGGCGCCCGCGGCTGCGCGGGGCGCCTGTTGTCCGCTCGTCAAAAAAGGGCGGTCTCGAGCGCTTCGGCCTCCAGCTCCCCTTCTTCCCCGAGCGTTTCGGCTTCCAGCTCCCCTTTTTCCCCAGGCGCCGGCCCCAGGGAGCGCCCCAGGCCGATGGTCCCCAGGGCGTGCGTGTGGCAGCCCAGTGTGTGTTTTTGCCCGGCCCACATCCGCCGATGGCACGCCCGAGTGGGCCCTCATGGCGTCGCCTTCGTCGTGTTGGAGGGCTCCTTTGGACGAGCCCACACTGTCGCTAAGGCTTGGGAAAGGGCCCGTTTCCACAAGGGCGCCCTCGAGGGCGCGAAGTCATTCGCGCTTCGCTGTTCGGCTCCTCCTCCTCCTCCTCCTCCTCCTCCTCCTCCTCCTCTTCTCCCCTGGGGACGGCGCGAGAGCGCGGAGTTGTTCGCTCTTCGCGCAGCGCGGAGTGCAAAATTAGGCGCCCTTGTCTGGGCTCTCAAGGGTCCCGACGTATACATGGCGGTGCGCACCGCGGCCTCTCTTTTCTTCGCGCGGCGCGTCCTGCTGGCGCCCTCCCCCCCCGCGAGAGCCACCGCGCGAGGTCGCCAGATCCTGCACACACGCTGACGGCGGTGTGTAGGCAGCGGCGACGTGGGCTTCGGTGCCGTTGCCGACTACACGTAAGAGCGACCCTTCGCCGGAGTGACGTGTGGTGCGGGCTCACCGGGCCCCTTCCGCCTGCTCGCATGCGATGCGATAGCAGCGGCCTGCGCGCTTGGGTCTGGCCCCCCCAGCGCCCCCAGAGCCGCGCACCAGAGGTCACTCTTGCCTGGGGTCACTCTTACGTGCAGCCGATGCAGGTGGGGGCGGTTCGTGGCCCATCTGTTCTGCGCGAGTTCGGCGTCGCAAAAAAACATATTCGCCGTGAGGCAACATCGCCGTTAGCGTGGCTTTGGAAATCTTCAGACCGACCCTTTGATTGCTCAGGATGAAATTCCTGGGAGTTCATTGAACAATAGACATTGGTGCTGGTACATCCGTGGTCAAAGGTGGGCGCAGTCAGGCACAATCTTGTTTAGTTTGTTTACATTCCCGCCTAATCCAGCTTGATTCTGGGTTCAATCCGGCCTGCTCTGGCTCTGTGGCCCCGTAATCGGGCTCGATAGCCCCAAGTTTCTTGAATGAAGGCCTCGCAGAAGTTACCTTGCAGCTTCCCAGGAGGGTACAACCGACAAACACAAACACCACGCAACCTACCCCACACAACCACATACACACACACACATTCCATGGGACTGTTGAAAGATATGGGGACTTGGGGGGGAATAGGAACATCTAGAAACCATTTAAAACATGTTGGATAACCTAGAAGGTGGTGATCGTTTTCTCATTCCTTGTTTTGCTGGTCGGCGCGGGCCCTCGCGCCCCCCCTCCCCTCTCCCCCTTGGAGTAGCTCTTCGCTGTTTTTGGCGACTGTATCAAGCAGGTGGAGTCTCCCGCATAGGACGCACTGTTGCAAACAGTCGCAGTATGCAGAGGTCCGGAGCCAGACCCCTCCTCCCCCCTTCCGCCCAATGTCGAAACGCCGAGTAAGAAAACGTTCACCTGAGCCGCCCCCCCTCGTGCCACCCCCACAGCCCTCCTTGTCGAACGGGGTGGGGACGAGCATGCAGTTGGAGAAAATCCCATGCCAAGAGAGACCCTGCTTGCCTCCAGGGTGCCCTTGGTTTCTGTGGCTTCGATGGCTTTGCGATAGGCAGCGTGACGTTCCCGCACCCAAAATCAATGGACGTCCTGGGGTCTCAGGTCTGGGATTCTTGTGGACGGTTTCTTGTGGTCGAGCTTCTACTGTAGGCGAAAGCTGGTCCAGAGCGTTCCAGGACGCTCTCAGAGCGTTCTGGAACGCTTCGAGCAGGCCGCGGCGCCCGAGACGCCCTCCACAGCCGCCAGATCTCCGAGGTTCTCGATCGATTTGATCCTCACCCGATGCTCTCCTCGACCCCGACTCGATCCTCGCTCCACCTGTGGCCCTCATCCGAGCTCTCACGTCCTCTCCCGACTTGGCCTCCTCTCCCCTCGGCCCCGACTTGATCCTCACCCGATGCTCTCCTCGACCCCGATTCGATCCTCGCCCCACCTGGCCCTCCTCGCCCGAGCTCTCACGTCCTCTCCCGACTTGGCCTCCTCTCCCCTCGGCCCCCGCGGCCCCGGAGAGGAGGCCAAGTCGGGAGAGGAGGAGGAGAGGAGGAGGAGGAGGAGGAGGAGGAGGAGGAGGAGGAGGAGGAGCCGTGCCCCGCGCCCGCCCGCGGCGAGAGAGGCCATCGCGGAAAGCCTCGGCCGGGCCGCCGCCTCGAGGCCCGCGGCACCGGCCGCAGGCGCGCGGGGCCGCCCTTCGCCGGGAGGGATGGCCGCCCCTGACTCTCTGGGAGGGTTGGACGATAGCGCCCGGACCTGGAGGGTTTCTCCGAAGGGCTTAGGCGACCCGTCTTCCTCCTCCTCCTCCTCCTCCCTCCTCCTCCTCCTCCCCTCCCCCTCCTCCTCCTCCTCCTCCTCCTCCTCCTCCTCCTCCTCCTCCTCCTCCTCCTCCTCCTCGGGTCGCACCCGGACCCAGATGCCCACATTCCAGTCGGGGCTTGAAGCAGTCGAGGCACCATAGGTTTGGAGTGCTATTGTCTAGCACTCTGGAAGGGCAGGGAGGAAGGGAACGCCGGCGCGAGCGGGGGAGGGTCAACGGAGAGAGAGGTACCCACACCGCTATGTTGCCTCGCTTTCGCCTTCCTGGGGCCTCCTGGGAGGCCCCCGTCGCCACCGTCGTTTTCGCCTCGACATCCTGGTCAGAACGCATCCCGAGAGAGGTCCAGGGAGCAGCGGTATCGCTACCTGTTGGCATTTCCATGTCGGTCAGTCGGCGGCGAGCCCGGGTGAAGGACTTCTCAAAAGGCTCGGAAGTCCCCCGGCCTTCCGAGAGTCGGGGCTGGACAGAACCCCCAACAGTGACACGTCGATTAGTGAATTGTCCGTTTTCGGCTCTCGAGAGGGCGCCGTGGCCGTTATTTTCCAGGCTTGCGCCCGCCGGGTTTGGGCCCGAGGTCGTTTTCACTAAACCACGTTTTGCTAAAGGGGGTTCTGTCCATCCCCGAGAGAGGCTTTCTGAGCCGTCCCCCAAGGCACAGTAAACCTCTCGGAAGGCGCGAGGGCTTTGAGAAGCCCCGAAGGCGCGAGGGCTTCTGAGAAGCCCCGCCGCCTTCTGAGAAGGCCCTCCCCTTCTCACTTCCCCCCCTCGCTCGCCGCCGAGGCAGGGACAATCATTCGAAGAAGAAAAAGCTGCACAGGCATGAACTGTCGGAGCTCTTCGCGCGGGTTTCTTGGCGCGGCACCAGGCGCCCCAGGAGGCGGCGCCTGCGGCGCCGCCCGCCAGGGAGTGGGGCCCCGCGCCGATACGATAGATCCGCGCGGGCCTCCGAGCAGCTGTATGTCAGGTGCTCGTCTGGGGGACCTCGCGGGGGCCCACCTGACAGATCGCTTCGACTCTGGTTCCACGCAGGGTGCGACTCAGGTAGGACTCCAGTGCGACTGGGGTCGACGCTGGTTCGGCTCAGGCTCGGCTCGAGTTCGGCTCGAGTCGACGGACGGTCGACGCGGCCTCGACGCACGAGTGGAGCGACTGGCTCCATGGCTCGGAGGGGCGCCAACGACGCACCACCACCGGCCCTGGCCAGGCGCATCCTGGCCCCTGGACTGGCGTACAGACCTCGATGCCCAGGCCAGGAGGGTCTGCAGGCCCAGGATGGGCCGGGCCAGGGCCGGTGGCGGTGCATTGCCTGGAGCTCTCCCAGCGACGCTGCCCTTCTCCGTCGATGGAGGTCGCGACGGGCGCCCCGCCCGGGAGCGGGCGGGCCTGTCGCCGACCCAGCGGAGATGCGTCGCCGACAGCAGGTGGACTCTTCCCCCCCCTGAGCCAGCTCCCCCCCCATGGCTTTGCCCTTCCCTGGCGAGAGAGGTAGAGTCAAAAGCCCTAACGAGGACGCGCGACTTTGCTCAGGGCACCCTTGCTCTTGCGTCCTTGAGGTTTTCGTCGTCCGCCGCCCCAACAATCCCAACTTCGGCTTCCAAGGGTCTTGATTCTTTACCGCGCGTCCTTATTAGGGTTTTTGATTGTGCAGCCGCTGTACCCCCCTCAGAGATCCGAGGCGGGGGCTGCCCTCGGAGTGAGGCGTCCCCGGGGGCCTTCCAGGGCCACGACCGCCAGAGCGGCAGGCGGCCTGGAGGTCCAGGGGCCACCTGTCACCAGATGGCGGTCGGACCCTTGCTCCCTCCTCCTCCTCCTCCTCCTCCTCCTCCTCGTCCTCCTTCCTCTCCTCCTCTTTTCTCTCCTCCTTCTTCTCTCCCTCGTCCTCCTCCTCCTCCTCCTCCTCCTCCTCCTCCTCCCCCTCCTCCTCGTCCTCCTCCTCGTCCTCCTCCTCCTCCTCTCTCTCCTCCTCCTCTTCCTCCTCCTCCTCCTCTTCCTCCTCCTCCTCCTCGTCCTCCTCCTCCTCCTCTCCCTCCCCCTCTTCCTCTCTCTCCTTCTCCTCATCCTCCTCCTGCTGATCCTCCTCCTCCTCCTCCTCCTTCTCACTCTCCTCCTGCTCCTCCGCCTCCTTCTCCTTCT